AGAGTCGTGAGAGCAATCTTCTTATTGAGATCATGAACCACATCCTGAACCATAGTAGAATCTTCTCCTGTCATTAAAATGTCATCCACGTACATAAGTAGCAACAGAAGCTTACCATTCTTTTTGCAGAAAAACATTCAGGTATCTGACACGGAATTAGTGAATCCCCAATCCAATAATGCACCTTTAAGTTTGTCAAACCTAGCTCGAGGAGCTTGTTTCAAACCATACAAAGCTTTATGCAACTTACAGACATGTGTAGGCCGTTGAGGATCGACAAATCCTTCGGGTTAAGCCCTAAAATTCTTGCAGCTCACCATTGAGAAACGCATTATTAACATCAACCTGCTGAATCTCCCAATTAAAAGTTACTGCTGAAGTAAACACAATTCTGATTGTGGAAGGCTTAACCACAGGTCTAAGTGTTTCAAAGAAATCAAGTCCAGCTTGTTGTTGAAATCCTTTAGCAGCCAAGCGTGCTTTATGCCTTTGAATGCTCCCATCAGCCTTATATTTCACTCTAAAAACCGACTTATTAGCAACTACATGCATACTCGGACTATAAGGCACCAAACTCCATGTGCCCTTTTTCATTAAGGCTGTATATTCACTGTCCACGGCAGACTTCCAATGACGATCTGTTAAGGCCTGTTGAACAGATGAGTTTGCACAATTGGAACTCTTCGTTACACTCAAGGCAAAAGACTTAGGTTGAATGGTTCCTGTTTTAAGTCTGGGCATCATAGGATGAGGAAGAGGTACAGGTCTGGGCTTTTTGGTTTTGAGTGGAGGAATTGGAGAGGCAGGTGATAACGAATCCGCAGGAATAAGAGCAGATACAGAAGGAGAGGGAGCTATGTAAGCACTCTAACAACTAACAGATTACTCAACAACAAGTTTACCGTTTAAGATAAAAGCCCAAATCCTTAGAAAATATAATTCCCTCACCTCATTGATTTAAAAAGTGCCATTCTAGTTTCTTTAATAGGGGAACAATGCTCAAATTAAGCGTTAGGTGTATTGTATTGTGTTGTATTATCAAAATATAATAGAGTTTTTAGTGTCATAATGTATTGTATAAAGGATCAAAATATAAAATTTAAAAGGATCAAAATGCAATTTTTCAAAAAATTTGGGGTCAAAATATAATTTTTTTAAAAAATTGGATCAACAAGTAATTTTATAAAAATCAAGGGGTTCCAACATGTACCCACGAAATTTTTTAATAATTATAGGTTCCAACAAGTAATTTGGGGTCAAAAAATTTGGGGTTCCAACAAACAGTGCTTATGTAAATTTGGGGTTCCAACAAGTAATTTGGGGTCAAGTAATTTTTTAATAATCAAGGGGTTCCAACAAGTAATTTGGGGTCAAAAAATTTGACTCAAATGTAATTTTTAAAATATGAATTGGCAATGTACCCACGAAATTTTTTAATAATTATAGGTTCCAACATGACCCTATGTCAGCTTCACCCTGATCCCAAGTTGTGTCAAACTGTAAAGCCCCTCCCAAACTACAGCTGAAACCTAAATGCTAACTAAAATAAAAATAATACTCCATTATAAAAAATAATATCTATCACAAATACAATTCTCGAACAGAATTCTTAGTATTACAGGTTTCAATTCTTAAGATCTCCAAACTTGTCATGGCGCTTGGACCATTCTTGCTCAGTCACCTGAATTATCAAGCTTACCTGCATCGCAAGAATTATATAAGCTACAGCTCAGTAAAAATAAACCATATATAATTTTCACTTTAAAAATACTTTTCTTTTAACATTTAGGGTCCTTTTGTATAACATTAGTCTTGTGTCATGAAAACCCCCTACAAGTGGCTCATGTCTTGAAAACTCTTATTCCTCAAGGATTCAGCCATCTTCTTTATCTATGGGTTCATAACAAGCATAAGAGTTCACATCATACCTAAAAAATACTTTCAAAATTTCATAAAAGCAAGTCAACAATAACATATATAAACTGAAAACTTTCATTAAAATTATACTACTTTTCAAGTGATGTAGTGGAGGGTATACTTACAGACTACATGATAAAGAGTAATCTCGCTATTTATTTTCTCTTTTATTTTCTTTCTCTATTCTCTCTTCCATTTCCTTCTATTACACGTTTTTCCTCTTTTTGTTGCAGACCATGGCTTTGGTTTAATGTGCTATGGGATATCCCATATATAAACTTGGTTCAAGCGTAATATAAAGGCGGTAAGCAGTTGGATGTCAAATCCTAATACTCTAAGCTTCCTACTCGTTTTAGTTCTAGTAACATATAAGCTAAATCATGCTTAACTTCTTTGTTTAATGCCACCTCCTGTTTAAATGGATGACTAAGCACATAAACTATTCCATTTCAATATCCAAATCATAATTACAAAGCCAACTCATCAATAACTCAGGTTGACATCTCCTTATTTCTATCGTCCGGTATAAAGAAATGGGTAATCATTAATATTAAATATCATAAGTTAATGACACTTCAAGCTTAGCTTTTAACACCTCATGCATATGACTAATAATACAATAAAATATTATTAACAAAACGTCATAAAATAAGCTAAATTCGATTTTGCTTAGTTCCTCAAAAATTCAGCGTATTATACAAACCTTGACATGGTCAACATGGATCATGTATCGCTACAAAATAATACAATAAAATATACCAGAAATTAGCCGTGTTCTATAATACAATCTAAATTGTATAATTACTATTCATATTAATTTATACAATACAATTATCACATAAATATTATATTAATGTATTATTATAAAATATGATGCTCTAATTAATACAGTCAAACAAACATGCCCTATATGTTTACTATTTGGTATTGCTTCCTTAATTACAGCAACAACAACGTCACCAATCTTAGCATATCGTTGATTACCAGCTCCTATGATTCGAATACACATCAATTTTCTGGCTCCACTATTATCCGCTACATTCAAATGGGATTGTGGTTGAATCATATTGTTTTTTATTTGTTTTTTCAATGCAAAGGCAAAGGGCTAAGTAACAGAAAAAAAAAAAAATGAAATATTGTTTATCCAAAACAAAAAAAAACCTGCAATTGTTTTTTTTCATTCGAATACATAACAAGGAGACGTTAGAAATCACCCATGTGGAAACCTCGGAGCGTTCTCTTTGCCAAAAGTCTCATAAGCACTGTTTGTAAACATCTAAGTTTGTACACGTTAGCATCAATAAGGTAATAGGCCGTCCACGGAATCCGTAAATTTAATCAATCCGCCCAATCCAATCAAACTTGACGATTGGTCTCCGATTAGAGAAATCTCAATCCAAAAGTTTTTGATGTATTTGCGAATTGAGCATTTCTCACTCCGCCAAATGTGTGAATCCAAAACACATGTAACATGTTTTTTCTATTATTCAAATTTAGTGGCAAGCTTTTAATTACTTTAAAGTAACCTTTATTAACGATGAAGATTTCATTTTGAATTTTACTGAATCTTGTATGTCATTGTTAATTGGGTTGTAATAATTTTGAATTTGTTGAGCTATTTTACGTTATGTTGTATATGTTTATTTGGGTTATGGAAGTTGCAAATTTTTGAACTACTTAAAGTAATATTGTTAAATGATCAAGACTTCATTTGGTGTTTTCTTCTGTATGGAAATTTAATATACTTATTAACTTTAAAGGTCCTAATCTGTGGATTTCATGAATCTAATTCACAAAATTTGATAGATTTTGAATTGGAATGGAAATATTAGATTTGAATTGGATACGGTTGAGATTTTTCAATCCGATAGTTTTGGATTGGATACCCTTAATTTGCGGATTTCACTCCGTGAACACCCTATAAAGCAAGTTCTTCACTATCATTCTCTTTGTATCCAATATCTTTTAATTTTTGGGAAACAAGGGAGACACATGGGATAAGGGTTAGGATAAGCGAAATGTGGTGTTTTTGGCTCTTTCCTTTTCGTGCGAATCTGAGCTTCTGTCTAGGGTTTCCCTCTTGGAGAAGGTGGTGATTTTTGACGGTGATGATTTTTGGGTTCCAGGTTGCATCTGCCTAGATCTAGGATTGTTAGTTGTGGGCAGCTGATATGTGGAAAAAAGGGTTTTTATTTAGTTTACTCTATTTTTTAAAATTTAAAAAATAATGGTAAAACTTTGGTCAATAGTGATGGTGAACTAATAGAGGGGGTGCTTCTGCAATGTTTTTGAAATATCATGTCCAAGACAATATCTTTGTTATTTTGATAAAACAGGAGGCACATGTGCAAAAAGCTCCTCTTTTATTAATAAATTTCGGCATTTAACTTAGCATAAAATAGATAACATATCTAGTGAATGAATGCAAATTTATTTGCACACCTTTCAGCATGAATTGTTATCAATAAATTCACGTGAAAATACCACTAATACTTTTATTTATTTCCTGCTTTTTGCTGATACGTACGTTGCAAGAAAATGTATGCTTTTGACTGTTCTATTATATATCCAAATTATGTGGCTTGTAAAGCAAATGTTTCTGTAATACAAGTTTAAAGTTTGTTTGTTTGTCTAATTAAGCACAGTCCTTTATTGGACAGGGGGAAAAATGGTAGGACGCCCTTCTAAATTTTCTTCCAACAAAATTTTGTATTCTTCAGAATTAGAATATCTAATCTAATTCTGAACACACTCTAAAACGCCATTACATGTGTGTGTCGTTTGTCTTTCTCCAGACATATTATTGATAATCACTTGTATAAGACATTAATGAATAATACGTTTGTACTATGAACCAACTATTATATTAACTCCAGAGCAATTAAAATTTAAAAGTAGGAGATGTGGTAACATACGAAAACAAAACATAACACAATCAACAAGCCCAACATATATAACAAGTCATACTTATATAATTAATCCAAGAAAAGAGATTCCAATGCCATCAGCGTTCTTTCATACAGAAGAGAAGCTAAAACATCCGAAAGTAAAAAAAAAAAAAAAAAAAAAAAAAAAACATGATGTAACAAATCGCAAGCCAACAAGTACATATATATATAAACTGAAAAAGGCTTTCCAATTAACATACTGCCGTTACTTCTTAATTACCAAGTTAAACAAAACACAACCAACGATAGAATTTCCTACTAATTAGTTATCATATATAGTTACTCTTGGCTTTTCAACTTTGATAAAAAATTAATTTCCACTTTAAAGCATGCCCAAGAGCTCGTGACCGATAATAAAGGAGTAATAAACGTCATGGATGACGCATTTTATCTGCTCCTTCGAGAGGAACATAGCGATCTCAGCCCAGTCATCAAATTGTGTACAACTTACAGGTTTGGGTTTAACGTCAATGCCAACTTCTGCACCCAGGTTTTCCAGTCCGTAAGATTGGATGCTGGATTTCTTCAGCACCCGAGCAGCCAAATAACCAACTTCCACAAAACTTTTACAGTTAATATGTTCTAGTTTCATCATGTCGTCGGCTACTTTTTGGCTCAACCCCACAAAGCATATAGTTTCATCAGTCAAAAACTTCCTCAAACTATCCGAACAACTCGATTTTTTTAAATCAATCATCAGAAAACGACTCCCGCCACACAGCAATAACCATCGGGGATAGCACACGGACCCCACCCACGCACATTTACTTTCGAACCCAACTCCAACGACACGTTTTCGTAGCATACACTTAAACTCGGACAACTTCTCCTCAAGTATAGAAGGATGATCGATTACATTCACCTTTACCGTAGCATCACCAAATGAAAGTTCGTATGTATCCATTTTCCTCAGGAAAGCCAAGGGTATCATTATCGTGTGCAGCAAGGCGTCACGTATTTATAGGAAAGTCTAAGAACAAAATTTTGGAGAAATGGACGTTAGTTTTTTTTTTTTTTTTTTTAATTGAATAGCTTCAAAATAATGCACGATAAAATATGGAATATAATATTATTGATGAGTAATAGCATACCTGAAGATGGTTTTGCAACTTAGTATTCATTCCATATTCATATATATATATATATATATGCTATTTACTTATTAAATTCATAATTAATATGTAGTGGAATAAAGCGTCTACGTACATGAATTTGGTTTCACGGGTAATGAAAAAGTACGAGTATTGAGAATAATAATGTAACTGACAACTTTCATATTTATAACACAGTCTAGCTAGCACACTCTCTAGAAGGCCCTCAATAGCACCTACATATATAATATCTAATCTAATTCTGAATTCCATAGAAAAACTGTAATCTAATTGTGAACACACCAAAAACGCGATTATATATATTTATAGATTATGTGTGCTGTCTTTTTGCAGACATATTCAGGGGAAACAAATGAACTCATGAAGAAAACAATCAGAATGATATGTTTGCAGCAGAAGAAAGAACGTAGAGAATATAATATTATCAATGAATAATAGCATACCTGACCAGATCACAGACAACAACACCGAAAGTTCTTCACTACATCTGTTTTGCTGTGCAGAATTGCAAGAATGCTCACAGAAAGCTTAAAACTCAAGTGCCAATAACACATTACAAACACAGAAAACAACCTTTAATCAGATACAATTACCGCCTTTGAGCACACAAAAATGTCCTTTCAGGAAAAAAAATGCAAAAAAGAGAAGTATTGCAATTTGTAAAGCGCTGAAGATAACATACCTAAGTAGATAGAAAGCTACTTAAAACAGAAGCAAATAAGGTATTATATACACAAGCAAACCACCTTTGAGATTACGTCAAGAACGCACAAAGAAAAGAGGTATTGCAAAAGCGCTTTTCTTAGGCTAGAAGAGTAGTGAAACTCTAGCCAAAAAGAAAGTCACCTAGTAAAAGCATTTGCCTTCTGTGAAAATGGGATCCAATAATTAGACTCTTTGTTGTTTGTATCCGCGAGTCTTGTCACATGCTAGGACACATCACTAATAAGTGGGCTCGGTAAACCACTTGTTCATTTTGCTTTTTCAATTTGGAATTTGTCACGTCCTTTCTTAACCCAACTTTCCACACTTTGTAAGAGTTTATTAAGCAAAAACAAAATATTACATTTTATGCATATTATAAATTTGGTGCTTGGAGACTTGAAATACGTATCAGATACGCTTTTGTTAAAGCGTTATCTTGCTCCTTTACGGTTGATATTTGAGTTTCAACAATCCAGGATATACTACTAGAAATTTTACATTAGACAACGTTTATTTAATGACGTTTTAAGAAAAACCGTCGTCTGATGTGGTGAAGAAAAGAAACACGAAACAAAGATTTACTTGTTTTAAAAATTCATACAATACATTAATTAGACGGCGATTTCCTAAAACGCTATTGTTAAATGTATACGAGCAAAATTAGAAACCATCATCTAATATATACGAGAAAAATTAAACAAAAAAAATGCAAGCACCTAAGACGACGGTGTTTTCAAAACCGACATCTAATGTTAACATTTCACAAAAAAAAAAAAAAAAAAACAAAAGAAAACATACTTTTTCCTGCTTATCTATTTCATTTAAATTTGAAACCTTTATGTTTCCCTTTTATATAATTCCGAGCACTCTCTTCTATTTTTCTCTCACTCTTATTTCCCAACTCTAAATATTTTTCTCAAATATCCCTCTCTCTTCCCCATTTTCCCATTCTCTTTGTCTGTCTCTCTCTTTGTCATTCTTTCTCTAATTCCTACTCCTCCCAAACCTTAATATTTTTCTCCTAAATCCATCTCTCTTTCTTAATATCAATTGTCGCCATTGTCTTCCCATGACTCAACGACCATGCCTACTACCGATGCTTCACCTTCTCTCCATGTTTTTCATCATCAACCACCAAAATCTGAGAACTTTACGAGTTTTGGGGTTTGTTAGCTTTGATTTTCTCTTTTGCACTTTAATTTTTTGTTTGAATTCTTATGTATATTTTTCTTTTATATTTCAATATTTTGTATTAGTTAGATTCGTATTATTTGCATATTGGTGATGAATGTTATGAACAAAACGAGTTGTAGTATTTTTTTGTACGTTGTTATTTTTGTTATTTGATGAGATATGAGAGTTTTTCGAATTCGTAAATAATACTTCAAGAGATTTTTGATTAGAGAAAGGAAATAAAATTTGAATAAGAATTCTTTTATTAATTTTTTTAAGAGACATTTAACGACAGTTTTTGAAAAAAAAACCATCATTAAATGTACTACTTTAACGATTGTTTCAATAAAAACCATCATTAAAAGTGACACATTTAACGACGGTTTTATCAAAAATCGTTATCTAAAGTGCCCTCCCTGCACTTTCACGTGCACATTAGACAACGGTTTTCGTGTTAGACATTTAACGACTCTGGATAAGACGACAGTTTTTAAACCGTCATTATACATTTTAACGATGGTTATCAACCGTCGTCTCATGCGCTTTTTATACTAGTGATATGACAAGCATTTGGTGAATTTGCAATAAGCAAATTGAAATTCACAGGAAAGAAAGAAAAAGAACATATTGTGTCCGGTAGAGAGAGAGAAATACAAAAATTGTAGTTGGGATGGGTAATTCGTATTCTCTGTATCCCTTTTTCTTTTCTTTTCTTTTCTTTTTTTTATGGGTTATTGCTGCTTGATTGATGCTCCCTCTTGTCTTTTTCTTTTCTTCCTGAACTTTGTACAGCACGAAGCAATGTGGATCTTTTATTTTTATTTTTATTTTTATTTTTTTTTTGCGGGGTAGAATAATAATAGCGCTTTCAAGATAACCTTGGCAAATCTCAAAGATCAACTTTGCCTCTTAATCTTTGTTTATTTCTAAGTTTATGAAAATTTTGATGTTTTTGTTTGAATCCTTTATTTTTGTTTAATTTGGGGTAGGGAATTGAGTGGAATATGATGTCTTTGATTTGTTGCTGTGAAATGGTGAGAACCTCTCTTTTTTTTTTTTTTTTTTTTTTTTTTTTTTGGAATTTGGGGCAGAGAAACTTTAGCATGCCAGTTCATGGGGCTTATGTGCTCTTTAACTTCTCACAATCGCGAAAAAAAAAAAAAAAAAAAAAAAGAACATGTATTTTATGTGTAGCACCCACCTTATTAGATAACATATAGATATAATAGAATTTACTTATGATAAATCGGTTAGTTTTAGAATATGTTAGAACTAGTTTTGGAGTCCAAAAATTAAGGATAGTTCTGTTCTATGACAAAAGCTAAGAGACTAGAAGAAACGATTGGGTAAAACCCTAAATTTTTCTGAGGTTATAGAAGAAAATAGAAAAGGTAACATAAAACTTGACTGCACCTAGAAAGAACCTAAATTTAACAGTCTTTGAGGTTATGGGCTTAGAATCCTAAAGCTCCTGACAGAAACATACTGGTCATTTTTAAATTGTTACGGTATGAGAAAATACTGTAAAAGAGGTAGAAAATTGATGTTTTAGTTTGCATAAAAGAAGAAAAGAGATCAAGGGCTAGAATTTGAGATCACAAAACTTGAAAAAAAAAAAAAAAATAGAAGAAACTGACTAAGACCATGATTTTCTGAAGGCGGTAGAAAAACAGAAACGACAACATTAAATTTCGTTGTATCCAAAAATTACCTAAATTTGAGGTTGCAGGCTCAAAATCTAAAACGTTTTGCTATAGGGAAATAACGGTCATTTTTGGGTTGTTTCAGTTTTAGAAAATACTGCATATAGATAGATTATACTGGTTTTAGTCTCCACAAGAAGAAGAGAACTTCAAATTGGCTACTTAAAGGACACTTGTCATTGTAGGATTCCTTTTGATGCAACTTGGGTTTTTATGACTTAATCATGAATTATTTGGAAAATGAAAAATAAATGGATGCTTCGGATTAGGCCAAAGCACCATTAGATTCAACCGTTGTAATTAAAGATGGCAACCTTTATAGGTGAAGAACATGAACCATTTTGATTTATACCCATATTCACCACATAGAGAGAGAATAGGTCGAGTGAGGAACATAGAAAAATAGTAAGAGAGAGAAAGAGATGTAGAAAGAAGGAGGAGGTTTCTCTAAATTTTCAGGTGGAAATTTCTCTCTTAATTTTTTATTATGGTATTTTACATAGAAATTATAGTACAATTAGCAATTAGATTATGCTTATGATAAGGAGCTCTAATGCCCATATTATGCTTAAAAATATGATCTTATGTTTAGTTTTATTATAAGATGATGATATTCTGAGGACTAGATTGTGAGAAATAAGAAATTTCATTGTGAGGTTCTAATGCTAAATCAGAATTAGAAATTTAGCTTTTCTAAGTAGAAGTTCTTCTATAATTAAGATTAGAAAGTTAGGGAGCTTGTGACCGATAATATAGGAGTAATAAACGGCATGGATGACGCATTTTATCTGCTCCCCCGAGAGGAACATAGCGATCTCAGACAAGTCATCAAGTTGTGTCAAACTTCCACGTTTGGGTTTAACGTCAATGCCAACTTCTGCACCCAAGTTTTCCAGTCCGTCCGATTGGATGCTGGATTTCTTCAGCACCCGAGCAGCCAAATAACCAATTTCCACAAAAAGTCTTACAGTAAATATGTTCTAGTTTCATCATGTCGTCGGCTACTTTTTGGCTCAACCCCACAAAGCATCCGAACAACGCGATCTATTCAAATCAACAACTTCCTTAAACTCTCCGAACAACACGATCTATTCAAATCAATCATCAGAATACGACTCCCGCCACACAGTAATAACCATCGGCGATACCACACGGACCCCACCCAGGCACATTTACTTTCGCACCCAACTCCAACGACACGTTTTTGTAGCATACACTTAAACTCCGACAACTTCTCCTCAAGTATAGAAGGATGGTCGATTACATTCACCTTTACCGTAGCATCACCAAATGAAAGTTCGTATGTATCGATTTTTGACAGGAAAGCCAAGGGAATCATTTTCGTGTGCAGCAAGGCGTTACGTATTTATTGTAAATTCTAAGAACAGAATTTTGGAGAAATAGACGTTAGGGTTGTTTTTATTTTTTATTTTTTAATTGAACTGCTTGAAAATGATACACGATAAAATAAGGAATATAATATTATCGATGAATAATAGCATACCTGAAGATGGTTTTGCAAGTAAGTATTCATTTCATACTTATATATATATGCTATTTACTTATTAAATTCATAATTAATATGTAGGTGGAATAAAGCGTCTACGTACATGAATTTTGTTCTCCGGGTAATAAAAAGTCACGAGTATTGAGAATAATAATGTAACTGACAACTTTCATATTTATAATGCAGTCTTGCTAGCACACTCTCTAGAAGGCTCTCATTAGCCCCTACATATATAATATCTAATCTAATTCTGAATTCCACAAAAAAAATCTAATCTAATCGTAAACACACCAAAAACGCCATTATATATATATATATATATATTATGTGTGCTGTCTTTTTCCAGACATATTCAGGGGAAACAAACGAACTCATGAAGAAAACAATCAGAATGATATGTTTGCAGCAGAAGAAAGAACATAAGGAATATAATATTATTGACGAATAATAGCATACCTGACCAGATCACAGACAACTACACCGAAATTTCTTTACTACATCTATTTTGCTCT